TAGCTTGTGTGCACAGTTCTAATCATATACTCGTTTACTCGCGCATACTTATCCGATCTCCTTTTGACGCAATGCGTTTATGGATATTGCGAAGTGTTTTATACACATTGCAATATTTTTTTCCTCAAGCATTGATAGCGACGCAGAAATTGAAACATGTTTATTATGTTTATTTCATGTGTAACAGTTTTACCTCGACATACATGGAACAAATACATAGAGCTCATATTAATTGTTCGCGTCAAATGTAACGAGATTTAATTTAATTTACCATTTATATGATCTATTAATATTTCCAATTCTGATAATTTTTTTTACGTTTCTGTCGACAATTCGACATAAATCCAAACTGTCGAGCAACTTCAAAATTGAAATCTTCATTCAATAAACATATTTATAATTCATTTATAATCAATGTAGAAATAAATGTAATGGCCCATTCAATAGCTATTAAAATTCACTAAGTGCACAGTGATTTTATTATTGTATCAATTACACGATTTCCTAATAAAGAATTATAAAAAGCACTCAAAAAAAATAAGCGATGGTAATGATTAATCGATAATTTTAATACATTGTTATAAAAGGCAAAATGTAAAAGGTTACAAATTTAAAGCAATGAATAACATAATGCATCACCGTTAAAATTATTCTTATCAATTTCACTAATGACAAAATGTATCGAATTATAATTAACATTTATTTTCATTAATATTTAAATATGCTGATTATTAATTTGATTACTTTTATACGAAATTTTATATTACTTGTTGTATATGTTCGTGCTTTTTGGCTTCGGTACAACATTGTAGTATAATATCTTTGATTTTTTTTTTTTATTTATTTATTTATTTTTTTATATTATTATATTCATTACGCTACTTTCTATTTAGTGAAATATAAATTCTATTTTTGAAAAAAAAAAAAAAAAGTAATGATAATGTACGAATTTTGAATTTATGAGACATTCTCTCGATACACAAAAATTACTTTAAAAGCTTTTTATGTTGAAAAATATATATTTTTTTCATATACTTTATTTCAATGAATCGATTGGCAATTATAAACATAATACTTTAGTTTTTCCGTAAAAACAAAAAAAAAAAATCAATTTTTTGATAGAAGCATCATAGAAATAATATGCAAACTTGGTTGTGCTATTTCAAATTATTGTATCGATTGTTCTATATTTTATTTTTTTACTTTATATTTGTTTTTCTTATTTTTATTATGTATTGTTATATTTTTTAATATTAACTAAGCACCTCAATAGAGTAGTTATAACGGAATTCTTATTCACATGAAAAATTGTTAAAATTTATAAAATATAAATAAAATATTTTTTTATATATACAAAATAAAAATAAAATTATGCATATGTCTTTCCTAGAGGAAAGTAAATGTGAAATTATAAATCTCAACAACTTATGCTTAATATAATTATTAAAATCGTATTATAAAATTATAAGAAACGGTGTTATACTGAATAAGACGGTTAAAGTAAGCATTGAATCTTATTTATTCAGGGAAATAAAAAAATCAATGTTATTGAAGAGTTCTCTTTGGTATTTCAATTTTTCTAATAACACGCGGCTATATATAATTAATCGTACGGATTACTTTATCGTAATTAATCTAATAGACTCTACTAAATATAACTTGTATATTTTAAGATATTGTTTTTACTTATGTTTATATTTAGTCAGAAAATTGGATCATCTTGGATCAATATCACTAGCTATCGTTTATTTCTCTTCAGATAACCTAAATAGTGAAAGTTCCAAACATTTCCTTTATTGCATCAATATTTTAAATTTAAAGTTAATTCGACGACGTTCTAAAGCACAGTTCTTACTATTTTCAAAGTTCTTACTATTTTGGTATTATTGAATAATTAATTGTCAGTTTTAAGTAATTTTACGACAGTTATTTCTCATAGTTTTTTTTTTTTTTTTTTTATATCTGTGTAAATTGTTAAAAAAAAAAATGTAGTTACAAGTGTGGTACATTAAATAATAACAAACACTAATCGCTAACGTAAGTTAAGATTTATATAAATTTTTTTTACATCATGCGATATTCGAAAAACATATCGATCAAGTTATTAAAATATATTAAAGTAAAATTATCAAATATATTAAAATATAAGTATAGATCCTTAGAATTATATTGATTATTAATTATACATATTGATATATTGAAATACTTTTGATAAAATATAAACGTCTTACTCATATTTGTAGTGTATAGGTAAATCATATAGTATATACGTAAATTATTTACAGAGTACATTTTGTTTAAAGAATAATAGTAAAAGAGTAAAAGTTGTTAACTTTAATAATTCATATTTCTTCTAAGTTGCATCGAAACTAAAAACTTAAGTTAATCATATTCAATTACCTAATTTAGTAAATATTTTATTAAGCTTTTAATGGAAAAGATTTTTCAGTTCTGCATCATATGCTCTTATTTCTTACATGGAAAAGCTATTTTTTTAACAAAAAAAATTTTCTTCTTAAGCAGTTTACTCTCAAAAGGTTCATTATACATTTTTACCGTTTATTATATATGAATTTATCAGCTAAATTTAATCAATCTTTCACATAATTGATAAATTAAAAACGGCTTTTTAAAATATTATACTTGAAAATATTTATTTATTTATTTAAACGTTGAAGTAGGAGGTGATTAGTATTATTTAGGTGCATGTAAAAGTTCAATGATTAGATATGATTTCAAAATACTTGATTTCCTATTAATTAATTGAAGAATGAAATAAAGGAAAATTAATATCGAATGGAAAACTAATAAATCTTGATTTTCACTAAAGAAGTTCTTCAATAATTATTGCAATAACGAATAATTATGATTGGCAGATTTATTGAAAAAGAATCGATCAAGAAATAATAATACAATATTAAATTTAATATGCAAAATATTCATTGAATAGTGAAAATTTAATAAAAAGCTAAAAGTAATCGTGCCATTGCATTTGAATGTAATTTTTTGTCGGTACAGATGATATTTAGTCCAAATTGTACAGAATTTGCAAATTACGTTTAAAAATATAGTGCAGCTATATGTAATTTGTTTGCAAATTATGTCTATACTATGTGTTATATATATTTGTCCAATTATAAAAAAAATTGAATTAAAATCTGTGATTTAGATTCAAAGTAAGCATTGATTATAGTTTTGTTTTTAAACATTAAAAAAAAAAAAGCAAAAAAAAAAAGCCTGAAACTTGAGAACGTTCGTGTTGTGAAGCAAATTACTTAATGGATACATCAATTATGATATTACAAAAGTGTATATCGAATTATTAAAAAGAAGAATAGCAACATATATATATATATATATATATATATATATATATAGCAAGCACGCGATATCTGCATTCGGGGAGGTAAAACTTTCTAATACCTTCTAGTTTCCTCGCTTACGTAATTTCTGCGAATAGATCTTGATATTCATGTCGCAGTCATTATTAAAAATTCAAATAACGTGCCAAGTATTTGATCGTCAAAATTCTTTTCAAACAAGATTCGAATAATGCTTTTTTGGGAAAAAAAAAAATATATATGTAATTCGTCTTTCGTATTCGGTATTTTTATTCGACCCGCTTAATTATTATGCATCGGGCCCTCTAGCATTGTATTAATGGCCAACTCTTTATGTTCCAAATTCACAAATATGAAGTTAGTGTTAGTTGCACCTAATCAGATTTTCATGCGTAGGATTAGTCATACCTTTCTCTTATTTCGAGCTTACTGTAAGCAAAAAAATTAATAATTTATACTTGGCGCATATGCTACATGAATCTATTTTTTATTATGATAATGCGTTTTGTTGGTGAATTCGATTTTCAATTTAGCTTAATATCGTCAAATAAACATTACATTAATTTCAAAGATAAGAAAATATTCTTAAGCGCTGCCTTAAAGTCATTTTTGATCAAGTCAATTTAGCCGATGATAGATGCATTGATCGATAGATGCCCAATAATACCGATATTTATCTTTTCACCAAGCAGTATTTGCTTTAATCGTACAACTTTTGTGCATCAGCGCGAGTTTTAGTTCGAGACAACAGTCAAGCGAAATAATAGTCGATGAGTTTACAATCGCGTTACAATGACAATAAAATTTTGAGCTCATAGTTTGCCGTGAGTTGATGGAACGTATTGTGCAATACACAAATATCCAGGCTGAAAATGTGAATTTACGTGGAAAATACGAGCAGCATACCATGCAATTATACCTCGATGACATCTCATTTATCAATGGCGAATTATCAAAGTATTGTGGCAGCCTTAAATGGAAAAGGAGCTCGCATAGAATAGCGGATTGCGGCTTTCTCACTTTTCTGGAACTCGCTATACAAGGACTCGTCGGCTATCCCGCTGCACGCACTCGTAATAAAGGAATTTCCAATAAAAAAAAAAAAAAAAAAAAAAAAAAAAAAAAAAAAAGCACCGGCGCAGTAACTTCAGGCGCGCGTTGTCAGTCATAATTGCCATAACTTATAAATCAACGAGTTGTTACTTGGCTCCCGATTAAACGTCGATAATGTCTTACCCGTCCGTCCTTTTCGTCGTCAATGCATCAGATGCACGTACGTATGTACGCACGCACGCAGGCACGCAGGCAGGCACGCACGCACGAATCGAGGGTGGAATGAAGGCGACACGCGAGGGGCGGTACGAGCGAAGAGAGTTTGCGCGAAGGACGCGCGTCTCGGGCAAGGCTAAGATCGGAAGCTAAATTTTCCTCGATCCGTGCCTCCCTCCAACTCGACCTCGCGCTCTCCCCCACGTCGCCCGAGAACAGCGACGAAGGAGACGCGCGCGTATCTATTGCGTCCCATTGCGCTATGTAGGGCGCGAGCGCGAGGCGGTTCAGGAGCGCTTGACGGCTCCTTTCACCTCGAACGACCTTAAGAATAAAGCCGCGGTTCTCGCGGAGGATAGCTGCCCTTTGGAAACGGTGCGGTCGAGTGCCGAATGCCCAGTGCCCCGGCGACGCGGTCGCGAGGTGCAGGCACCGAGATGGACTCCGTGCGCGACCTCAAGCGTCTCCTCCACGAGCGAACGGAGGCGCTCAGGCGTAAGGACGAGGCCGTCGAGAGCCTCGAACGCGCCCTCGAGGAGCGTGACGCGACCATACGCTATTTGCGCAACGAGATCGACAAGTTTCGGCAGATCGTCGATTTGGGCATCGTCACCGGACCATTGAATCCCGACCGGAGGCTCAAGAGGCTCGCCATATCGGCGGAACCGCTGAGGAACGACTCTAAGCCCATACGCAAATTCAGCAAGCCTCTAAGGTACGACGGACGCGACGATTCTCGCGACTGTTGTCTTTTTTCTAGAGTACCGAGCACTGTTTGTTTTTTAATCTTTCTTATCGATGGTCGAGCCAATGACGCGATTTTTAATCGTCCCCTCGTTTATTAAACGTGACGGTGTTTTAACTTGATTTAACTGGGCCACCGGGTAACTCTTATTCTCGCCTACTAAAGTCCGACCTCCGGCTTACCAAAGATTGCAATTTTCGATTGTCCCTTTGCTTATTTATTACTTGGGCTTTCGATGAGCATTCTATCTAGTTTAAGAATTCAGGTGCTGCGTAGCCTCCAAATGGATGGATAGGCGCACAGGTCTGCGTCTTGAAAGATTTTACATATATTTTTCGCTTTTTTCGATAATCATCAAAAGATCTCGATTTTTTTTCTCTCTCGGGGCTGGTAACGCTAAATAAGTTGTCTGTTATTGTTAGCAAGGCCTTCGGATTTGAAAAGTGCATGAAATTCTGTGCATTAAGCGCTATTAGTCCAATGTTTTATTACATCTCCATCTATTTGCCTTATTGTTATATTTTGCTAAATTCAGAAGAATGAGATGTAATATTGTCATGTGTGCGTATATATATATATATATATATATATATATATATATAAGTGAGGTTTGATAATTCAAAGCCAATGTATGAAGCTTATAATGTTAATGTTAATTGGCGTTAAAAGTATGATTGTTAAACGAAAAGATTTTTATTTTTATTAGCGCATTCTGACACCCTCTCCTCTCCACTCTTAACGTCAAATTTCATAATTTTAAATACATTTATTTACTCATAATTTGTCATTTTAAAACATATACCCTGAGTATATGTATATTTCGATTTTTTTTTTTTTTTTTTATTTTTTTTTATTGAAGCTTTAATGAATACACGCTGAGCTTATTAATTGACAGTTATCGTTACGTTTTTTAACGTTATTTTGTATTTCAGAAAATAAATGTGCTATTTTTATACTTGGATTCGTTTACTTTTCTTCTCCGTTCTTAATAAATATTCATAAATAGCTATTAAGAAATTGAATTAATTATAGACTTTTTAAATACAATATCACCATAGCTATTCACAAATTCTTCCTATAACAGTATGGATACAGATAAAAACTTACATTAAGCATATAAATAATAAATAAATAAACAATGATCCTCAGTTTCATCCTCGTTTGCAAGTCGATAAGGGTGCAATGAAACTTCAACAAAAAGTTCCTTTTAATCGCTGATTATGAAATTTATAACTTTTTCGGTAAGGTCTGTAATAATTTGCCAAAATTAATGTCCAAAAAAAAAAAATCATGTGTGGTGCATGATATAATAAGTCAATGATATACTGCAAAGTGCAAAAAGATACATGAACAGACAATTCGTGCTATATAATCATAATATCGCATTGCCCATATAATAAATTGGTGGCATCGTTAAAAACATATGACCGTCTCTTGGATACATCATAATGAAACACACGTACTTTCTCATCAAGTCACGATCTTTATCAATAAATGTGTACATCTTTTTTTTTTTTTTTTAAACTTTATTCGGCGACTTTAATACTCGTGAATAAAGTCTCATTACTCGTTCTCATACGTCAGTAGAATACTTTTCAACTTAAGTAAACGAAAACTTTCTTAACACACCATATTTCAAAAGATTTTCGAGTAGTGCAAATAATAATTACAGTCCAGCTCAAAGTACGTTGAAAATTTTACGGAATATATTAGAGTCGAATTTATAAATCTCAATGATTTATAGAAAAATATATAAGAATAAGTAAGCCATAAAAGTTATTTCAACAAATAACACGTAAACCACATATTTATTACGGCTCTCATCTAAATATTATTACGATCATTTATACAATAAATTCTCTAGTTGCTGATACTTTTGTTTAACTTAAAGAAAAAGACGAATATTAATCGTTTATCTTTATGAGCAGCAAAATTGATCGGATTGATCTATCGAGTATATATTCATTGGATTAGCATTTCGATTGTTGTACTATTGTCTTTATTAGCTACAAACAAAATACAAACTAAATTTAATGAATTATATTTGATTATCACTTGAAATAATAATGACGAAGAAAAATTAAAAATTACACATCAACTAAACCAAGGGCTCCTGGTCTTTTTTATTCAAGTACCTTTCACAAGAGAATAATCACGTTATACATAAATCATACATTTAAATTTATAAATAATTTAAGTTGATAAGCAATTGTTATTTTATGAAAGCATATAACATTATTAAAAAAAAAAATGTGTCTTTTCAAAAATTTGTAAAGATCGAGGTTTTACTCGATAATTTCTATATATTAAGTATTTAAAAATTTAATTAAAATTTGTATTAACTGGTAAATTTATCGCATGTAAATTGCAATTAACTCATTTTTACATGCATTCACATTTTCTTTAAATTGAGAAAATATTGTATCATTTAAGATACAAATATCAATATATAAATTTTTATCAAAATAAAGTATTTTAAAAGTTTTTTCCACACACAAAATCTGATGATACATATATATTTCAATTTTTTATATGCCATTACATGCCATACATTTGGCAAAGTCTAAGATTTATTATTCCATTTATTTCTAAATAATTTATTTCTATATTTTTTAATCACAAATGAAAAACAATTGAAATATTTTTAATTGTTTCAATTTATAAAAATTGGGTTTCTAAATATATATTATTTTTAACTGCCATATTTTAATTTTCAAAACAAACTAACAGTAAGATAAGGAAACAGACTAAATTCATTTCGATGCAGATGAAAATATATAAATCTTTACTGAATTGCCGGTTCAAAAAGCAATTATTTAAAATAATATTTGTAACATAAATAGGGGATTTAAATAAGAGATATTAGAATGTAACAAATTTTAGTTAGAATAACTTTATAATAATTTTTAAGAATATCTTCGTATTGAATTTCTTCTGAGCATTATTTGGTTTTTCATAATAAAAATGATAATGCCACATTAATTATCTTATAGACGATGAACCTTCTCTAAATTATGCAAATGCACTTTGTTAAAATAATTTTTAGCTGATCTAAGCACTGCCGGTATTTTTTAGTTAATTTGTTTAGAAAGAAGAAATTTTATCAATTAAATCTTCAGTCAGTAAAAATGGCCTTATATGACAAAAATTCAGTTTACATAAATTCTAAATCTAAAAAGTTGCATATATATTTTGTTGTTGTTGTTGTTGTTGAAGATTTTACTTTAATTGTAAAGAAAAGTGAAATATCCGGGAGTAATAAAAAAAGCCTTTATTAATGTATAAAATCCAAAATCTTAACAAAAATAATATTGAAAATCTTAAGTATCGTTACAGATAAAATATCGACTAAACGTAAAGAATGTATGACTTGTAAACTAATATGTAAAACACATTAAAATTGAAATAATATAAATAACTTATAATATTTGTACTTTTATTATTAATTGCACGAAATAAATTGAATAAATCTTTCTATATCTTTTATATGACATAAATACTTCAATTTGCACAGCAAGAAAAAAATTGATATACAAGTTTGAAATAATATTATTTTTTTTTTTCAATATATATATTTTGTCTAATGTAATGAGACTCTGTGAACTAATATAGTAATATTTTTTTTAACAATTTTAAAATCTTTAATTGTGGTGCATGAATGTTTCAATATATATATTTTGTCTAATGTAATGAGACTCTGTGAACTAATATAGTAATATTTTTTTTAACAATTTTAAAATCTTTAATTGTGGTGCATAAATGTTATAGTATATATATATATATATATATATATATATATATATATATATATATATATATTAAGAAATTTTAACTTATTATCATTAAGCGCATTTATATTGTAAAAGTCTTGCAAATTTACATTTGGATGGATTAATTTATGTACTGTCCTAAATAATATACTTATAAAAAAATCCTAATGTCATCCTAATATCTAAATCATACTAATATTTATTTAGTTAATTATTTATTTCTTTATTTATTTAGCTCAATTATATATTGATTTATATAATCATTCATTTAAAATGTTGTAATTTTCTATAATCTGAAAATAAAAATTTATTATAATAAACTTATACAAAAAAAGAATTTTATTATTAAAATATACAGTAGCTTCGATCATTATATACAATAGTAATCATGTAATAATGCAAAGTACTAAATTTTAAACTCCCGAAACAGCGAATTATGAAGAAGAAGAAATAAATAATTTAGTGTTAACAATCATAATATATATATATACATACTACAAATTGAGAATCAATATTTCAATAATAAATATTATCAATAGTAAATGTTTTATGATACGGACGTTTATCTAATTATAAATAATGTAATTATAAATATAAAATATATTACATTATACATAATATAATATCTGTTAGGTAATATGTTAATATGGTTTGAAAATTTTGTTAATAAATAATGTTTAAATATTTTTAAATAAATGCTTACTATTAAATGATTGTAAAATATAAAGAGAAATAACCTTATTCCACAACTAAAATTTGTTTTGAAAGAGAAATTTTTAAATCTTTTATAATTTTACTCGCTTATTCAAAATATTTTTATTTATTTTACTGAATTCACAATAGGTAAATTACTATAATAATTGTGCTTTATTCTTTAGGTCTCGTGAGCTGATAAAGGCTGCGATTTTAGATAATGATTTTATGAAGAATTTGGAACTCACACAAATTCGTGAAATTGTTGACTGTATGTATCCTGTTACATTTCCTGCTGGTTCAATAATTATTCGCGAAGGAGATGTCGGCTCAATTGTTTTTGTTATGGAAGGTGAGTTTCTTTATATTCTACTAATTATATCATATTTATATATGATTAATATATTTATTAGTTATATTTTTATATAATATTTATATAATTTTATATAATATAATTAATATAAAATAATTATATCATATCATTTATAGTAATTATTTCTCCATATATCAAATTATATCTACATTACTTAATTAATAGAATGTTCATAATGTATTACAAATATCATTCGCTATCACAATTTACATATATATTATCAGCAAATTAATATGAATTTTCTATGAAAAATTTTCATTTTCGAAATATAGTATATATATATATATATATATATATATATCTTGATTATATTTCGTGACTGGTATTTCGTAATGGAACTGATATTTAAAGGATGAATAATTATTCATTCGATTTTATAAATATTTAAAAATAGAAATATCGCAGCTATGTAAAACTTTAAATCTTAAATCAAATAATTTTTGATAATCATTTCAAAAATTATTTCATTTTATTTTGCTTAATTAAATTAATCAATTTTCTCCTTATTGTAAATCCCAATATTACTTTTCTTCAATAGTAATATTTGTATTTTATTTATATTCTATTATTTCACTGATTAATAATTTAATAAGTTCATTAACAAACATAACGAAGTAAAATACATAAGAATCCTCGTATCTGATGTAAGATTCAAGATTGGAGATTCAAGGCACATTTCATTATCCTTTTACCTCTTTTGAAACAATAATGCCGAGGTAATAAGTCAAATATACTTTTTGCTTTGAACGCAGCTTTCAAGTTTCGGGTTCCGTATTAAAATATGGAAGAGTTAAATAAACATAAACGAAAATATTCAATTCGTTCTTAGTGACACGATTCGCAGTCGAGGATTGTTCGAGGTATCGCCGTTGGAAAATAATTAAAAAATAGTGTCAATTACAAATCAAATTAATGACTGGATGGGCATTAAGAAAAAAAAAACAAATAAAAAAAAACGTCAAACGTTAATCAACTGCGAACAACGCACGTTACTAAGGGCAAATGATTCAACCATCGCGTCTCTCATGCTGTGTCGTGTGATACTTTTTCTTCAGTTAACGAACACTGCTTTATACATTTCTTCATCAAGGACTGAGAATGTTGTGATTTGCACTATTATCTAATATAAATATAAGGGAACATATTTTAGGTATAAAGTTCATGATGCATAACTGTTATAACAGCTGTCATGTAAATACATTATCAAAGTATTCATTCGCATTAACATGGATATTCATTAGTAAAATACGATTATTCGATTATATATACATTAGTCCTTCATGAAATATTCCAATAAAATTGAGTAATTTAAGAATATTACATTTAATAATACGTAACAATAAAGACAGATTTTCTATTCTATTAATTCAAATGGCTCGATCTATTTGCAATTAATACTTTGAATTTAAAACTATCTAATTAATTGTTGTATTATATTATAATATAACTATTTATTCTGTATATTCTTCACTAAGCTTAACGCAAATAGTTAGTTAAATCAAAATCTTATAGGGCCTTGATTATATTTATTTGATTTATTATTAACTTTGACATTGCTATCTTAAATATGTAGAATTCTTAGATAAACCATATGTATATATATATATATATATATGATATTCTTTAGAATTTTCCAAAATAAATAAATTATTATTAATAAATATTTTTCAGTTTTCCGAAATTTTTTAACATTTCTAAGAACTATAGTCGCAGGTATCTAAATCTTTTAATACATTTGACTGTATAGTTATATAAATCAGTATTTTTAAAATAAATTATTTATTTTATAGCTGACGCATAAATAAATAGTCTTAATAAAATTACATTTTCCTTACGTAAATAATCGCTGTTTCTTATTCATATAATTATAATTAATACTAGTAAAGTAATTTACCATTAAGTAAGATTACTATTCCATTATTTACTTTCGTATCATATAATATTACTGATTTAATGTTGAGTCGAAAGTTAATTATATTTGAAATAAAGTATTTATAAATCGATTCAAGTGAAATGATTATTCAAAGAATATATTTTACAATATTACTTACAGATATATATATATATATATATATATATATATATATGTATTTCCATATTTTTGTGGAGATTATTTAATGTAGTTTCATTATAATTTAGCTACATTATAATTATGTATCATTTACATATTATTGAAATAGCTGTGCAATCTTAGATTTATGTAATTGTTTCTTAAAGAAAATAGTTAATGTACAGATTCATATTTCTTTAAATAACTCTTGTTATTAATTGTACGTTAATTTTTATTAAATTATTATTAATCTCTATTTAAAAGAACGGAAAAAATTTTTATTATAAATTAACGATAATTTTTATTTGCCTCATGCAAATGTATGTATATACATACACGCGCGCGCGCGCGCGCGCACACACACACACACACACACGCACAAACGTATATTTAATGATTTATTAAAAAAGAGCAATAAAATTTAGTATCTGTAAATTTAAATAAAGATAAAATATCTAGATTGATTAATTTAAATACAAAAGCAGAATAAATAAATAATACATTATTATATAAAGCACTATTTAAATATTATAAATTAATTTTAATTATAATAAACGGTATTATAATAAACGGTAAAATATTTATAAATTTTGTTAACAGTGCGTACTAGCAATTAGCATTTATTATATAAATAAACTGAAAGAGTTTAAATTTTGAATAGTAAAAGAAGTAAAGGACGTGTATTATAGCTTGTATTTTTAAATAACAGAAAAGTGATTATAAAAAATAAGAAAGAGATTCAAAATTGACACAGGAGGTAAATTTGATTATTTTTATAAAAATAGTCATCGAGTTCCTTGTTAAAAGAAAAACTAACGTTTAAATTATTCAGGTAGATGGACATAAATTAACGCATAAGGATTATACTTATAATTAATAGTTTACCAAAAATTAAATGATTTACCTTTATAACAAACAACTCGTACCATTGTGATTTAATGCTTTGTTATCGTTAAACTATTAAATAATTAATTAATTATCGAGCGATGTAGGCCATAGATATTTTTCTTAATATTACATAGGTTATTGCGTGTTAAAGCCATTATGATGTTTAATAGGAAATAACAAATGAGATTCTTCAGTGTATTAAGTGCATAAATATATAATTATGTATATGCATAAAAAATATGACTATTCTAATTTTTTCTATGCTAATATTAGTTAAATTGCTTTATGTTAGCACATTTTGAGAAGAAAAGCTAGAACAACAATATTTTCACTTAAGTATATAAAAGATAAAATTTTTAATTTTTTTTGGAAAAAATTACTCAACCGAATACTTAAAACAAATTCGAGATATTTTTTTCCCTTCAATTTAAAGGAATAAATATGTGAGTCAATATACGTATTGTGTAATACATGTTGCATGGAAAGCGGGTAAAACTAAATAATGCAGTGACTAAGCTCGTGTTTCTCCACGGGATTGGGATAATTATTTTATTTGCTTTGTCATATTCAAACGAAGTGCGATAATCTGTTTACGTGTCAAAAAAATTGTTCCAAGGCAGCAGCTACTTACTAAGCACTTATCTCTTTACAAGAATTTTTCGCCCTCTTTTTATAACATTGAAAAGATTTTATTCCACATGTAATACATATGTGACTTGGCAAACAACCATATTTGTAATAATTAACTAGTGAAATTAATTGAATTGAGCCGATAGAATTTATTACTAGATCAGATAGCACTTTTAAAGGTTATTTGATGAATCATTGATTAAATCTAGTATTTTCAGTTTTCCTTTCTTTCAATTTTTTTCATTCTGAATTCTCTAGAATATACGCATGAATGTACAATTACCATTTAAATGCCACTTTATTAATACTGAATTGTCTCTTTTAATTATTATAGTATAGCTACGGTTTACTATAATATCGGATAAGTTTCTTCATGCTCCTAAACTTACTGTAAAAGAGAAGAGAATATGTGCGCGCGCGCGCGCGTGTTTATTAAAAATTTTAACTTTATTTATTTCTTGCGTTATTTTCCTTTTTTTTTTGTCCATGTGTGTTAAATACACGTGTGTTAAATACATATAATAATCATTGAAATGGTACGTGAAATTGTAATCTAATTCACTTAGATCGAATAGACTCTATTCTAAATAATTTTATATAAAATTTCAGTCTAGCAATTGATTGCAACATGACTTAAGTCTTAAATTAATCTAAAGCTCAAGTCTATTTCCTTACATATTATTAAGAAAACTTTGTATTCAATATTAATTGTAATTTTTACGCAAATTACAGCTAAAGTAGGTTCCGCGCGTTTGAAAGTCCCTTTACTTATGCCATGAGAAGACGTGAAATATTAATTTATTAAAAGAGGCTTACCGAGTAAATTCGGGTGCCACGAGTGACCCTGAACGACGTAGACAACGTATATACGTTGCGGTTGATTAACTTAGTTCAGTGCGTGGGTGGTGCCCACAACTACTCATCGTTGCATCTATAATATCACACGGAGTAAAAGATCTCGCTTCTATAGTGGATCTCGGTTGATCGAAAGTCCTTCTTGCATAATGTCTATATTAAGTTTCGGTGCCTCGAGCATCCCAAGGCAAAATCAATGGAATTGACGTTACGGCGTCTTATCTTCCGTCTTATCTAACACGCACACTTTTCTAGATCACTACAATGGCACAAATCACACGAGATCGCCAAGGTTCATCTTTCAAATCACATGTGACACGAATGATTGGAAACGTAGACAAATTGCTAGTTATACTTTTAATAGAATGATTTCTCATCTTTGTATTTATTTCCTCCCACACCAAATATTTGCAATAATCACCTCTCTGGCTTGGGTCTTAATTTTGAAATGTTTTTAGCCACGTACACATTGATACAACTATGGATACCAGTATTATTTATTTACAACTATTTTAAGCTTCTTATTGAAAATTATTGAATGTTATATGCAGATTAT